TTTATTGAGCATTGATCCCATGTCATACCTACCCAGGGACCAGGGACATAAAGGGGAAGGTCAGGGAACTCTGGACAAGTCCTGCTTTCTTGCAGCTCACAGCTGGGCTGGGGGCATGAACAGAACTGAATTGGAGTCAAGGAGAAAAGTACAGCCAGCGGTAGGAATGACACGGCAGCATGGGAAGGAATCTGAGCCAAATCTGTCAAGTAGCAAAGTCAGGGAGCTTTACTGAATCCACGTAGAGGAACCACAGGGGTATGGAAAGTATGTCATAATCCTATTTTGTTTTATTTATTTATTTCTTCCGTGAGAGAGAAAGAGACAGAGACTGGCACCCCCAACAATCTTTACACCATGATACACCCCCAGTCTCAGTCGGCCTAGATCATGAGCACATATGTGTGCCTGGCATGCACAGGGAGGTCCAGGGACACGAATTTTTCTCTTATCAGCCAACTTGCATTATCCCTGAACCACTCAATCCTACCCTGTAATCCTATTCTAAAAGCTGTACATGCTTCTGTCAATGACCAACTCTACCCCTTAGGTCACTGAAGTCCCACTGTCTGTTTTCTACTGTTGCATAACAAAATGCCAGACTTTCAATAACCAATTATGAAGGTGTGATGTCACTCCATTGTGCTTGTTTTGGGAGAGGTTTTTGCAATAGGGTGCATGTGCTTGCCAGAAAGACAGAGAGAGAGACAGAGAGACAGAAGTGAGAAATCACCCCCAGGGGGGATGGTCATGCCACAATCTCTTCTCCTCCACTCTCCTCTCTGGATCTTGGGCACGCACGCACACGTGGCTGGTTTGAGTTTAAGCCACTGGGTCTGGAACTTGAAATGTGGTCGACTACAAGGGCGTCGAGCAAAATAGCCATTACGCCAATTGCTGGTCCCTGTTTGTTTTTTAAGAGAGAGATTTTTGCTATAGGGCATGTGTGCTCGCTGGAGACACAGAAAGAGACAGAGAGAAAGAAAGCAGGAAACCACTCCCTGGGGGGATGGGCACACTGCATTCCCCTCGCCTTCATTCTCCTCTCAGGATTTTCAGCATGCATGCACACCTGCCCAGCGTGAGTTTCAAGCCACTGGATCCAGGACTAGAATCACAGTTGACCACATGGGAGTCCAGCGCCACGTGGGAGTCCAGCACCACTATTGCCATTTGCTGACCCCATCACTCTGTCTCTTTACACTAACCAACAGATCCCCAAGTCCACGGGGAGCCAGAGAAAAACCTGAACTCCTCAGCCAGGCGTACATGCCTGGACCTGTGATCTGGCCCTTGCCTACCTCTTCACCTGCCCCGATTCTTCAGCACCAAACTCCATTTACCAAACCACTGGAAGCTCCTTAATGAGCCACATTCTTTCCCTCCTGTCCTGCCCAGAATTCTCTCCCTCTATCCTTTCTAGCTGACAGAAATCATCATTACCTTTTTACTATAGCCACTTCATCACCAAGTCCTGCATCCAGGGGCTCCCAAGCAAAGTTAAATACATAGTTATTATAGCATTTATCATATCACTTATAACCATCTGTTGACATCTCTCCCTCCCCTGCTGGGCTGCAAGCTCCTTATCATTGAAAAGCCTATCCTATTTAGATTTGTATTCCAGGCAGGAGCACGAGGTCTATCATAGAAGCTTAATATATGGTTATTGAACGATGGTTACTTTTAAGACATTCCTTAGTATCTGTATTTCCCTGAATCTTATTTTGGTTGTTACTTTTTAAAAGTATAAATGTTAAATAATACTTAGATTAACAAGTTTGCTAAGTTCTAATTTTGTCCTTATAATGAAACCTGCTAACATCACTCGTTCATTCACCAACAACATATTGGGAGACACTGTCAGCTCCTAGGTGTGAAGTGAACAAGTCAGATATACGACCTCTTCCCTCTGAGGTTAAGTCTATGAAGGCTGAAGGGGAGACTGACCTCGAACCATAAACACATCCATATGAGATTCGAATTGAGGTGAGAGTTGCAAGGAAACAAGTTACAAGGAGAGAGAATAATGAGAGGCCAATTTTAGATAAGAGGGTTAAGCAGGGCCGGGTCCCAGGGCCCCAGAGCGTAGTGGTAATGTGCTGTTTAAAAGAAGCTGGATCTTGGGGCCAGCAGGTGGCACGGTGATTAAAGTGCTGGACATTCCCACACGGGCGACCACGGTTCGATTCCTGGACCTGGTGACTTGCTTGCTTGCTTTCCCACATTCCCTCCCTCTCTCTCTCTGTCTCTCTCTAGTCAAATTAAAAATAAATGAATGAATAAATAAAAATTAAAATAATTCTTTTAAAAAAAGAGAGAAGCTGCATCTCACATGGTGACTGCAGTTCAAATCCTGGCCTGGTCAGCCTGATACACGTTGGGCACAGGAGTACAAGTGCCCGAGGTCCGATGTGCTGGAGGACTGGAGGAAAGGAGGTCAAGGTACGATCAGACCCTGTGGAGGGTGCTTCTCTCTCTCTCTCTTTCTCTCTCTCTCTGATTCTTTTTTCCCTCCTCTCTCTAGTGCACATGTAGCTGTTATGAATAAAGACAGAAATTATTAAAAAAAAAAAAAAAGAGATAAGGCCTTGTGAGCTACTCTTTCTCTGTCCACTCAGGCCCACTCTTACCTCTAAGGAGTGTACTTTCACTTTTACTTAGTACACTCCCTTTTCCTTTCACTAAAAAAAAAAGAGAGAGATAAGATAGAGACCTTAGGAAATATCTTTGAAGAAATGACGATACAGGGGACACTATGGGATAGACAAGAGTAAGCCATGCAGTCAGGGGGATGGAGCATTCCAGGCAGCCTGCGGGAAGACTCTAAGCCCGTGAAAGGCAGCTGGGAGGCTGGGGCTGGAGGGTAGGGGCTGGAGAAGCTGTCAAGGGCCAGACCTTTCGGTTTTGATCTGGAATTTGGATTTTATTCTCACCGCGTAAGGAAGCCATGGAAGTTTTCAAACAGAGGAGTGACGGGAACCTCTGAGAGGCCTGTCCCTGTGAGCACCATGTGCACTCTGGACTATAGTGAGTAAAAAGCAAGTAAACCCCTTTGGCTCTGATCGGCAAAGGCTTTGATCCCCAGTCTCCTCCCCTGCGCGTGCTGGAGAAAGATAATGGACGCTCACTTCAAGGGCCACAGGTGAGAAGACCCTAAGCTGTCCCAGCTACTCAGAGAGAAGTTGCCGCCACCCTCAGTGACCTCATTTGACAAAAGACAGGGCCAAGGAGACAGCACCAAACGGTTCTCCCAGGTCTGACCTGAGCCCCTGAAGCTCTGAGCTAGCAAACTAAGCCAGGGCCACACTGGGAAAGGGGTTCTAGATTGCCAGGGAGGCCATAACTCTGCCTGGCATGCTCCTCCCTCCCCTTCGTGTGGTGCTCTCGGTGCTCCCATGAAAAGCTGGCACCTGCTGGTCTTGCCATGTACTAGCTCTCCCCCACCCTGCCTTGGTTCCCCTGACCACTGGGCTTGCCTCACACAGCAGGCATTTGTAGGTCAGAAGTGGGCCATGGCTTTCAGCTCACACTCCCTGGGTGCCCTTACTGACCTCCCCTGTTAACCGCCAGAATGTGAGAACCACCTCTGACTCTACAGCCCCACCATGGGAGGGGGCATTGGTGGGGAGGCAGTCACAAACCTCTGCATGGACTTAGAGTCCTACCTGAGGCAGTCTGTCAGTCACTGGTGGAGCTGCCAGCCAAGGAGGGGAGCTGAGAAGATGGTAATGAGATCCTCCTGCTGTGATTAAGTGCCAGGCTTTGTTTTACACCTGTCTTTCCGCCTTGCCTGGTCAGATCACCAAGCTGACGGGACAGTGAGTGGGAAGTCAGTTGCTCTGTGACAATACCTCCCACACTGGCAGGTGAGGGCTCATCCACCTACAGCCTGCCTGACCCTATGCCCACCCCCGCAACTCTCACTCAAGACAGTGCCTTTCTGTCCTTGAACCGGGTCTCATTCCTGAAGCCCCACCCCCACTTTGCAATAGAGTCACCTCTTCAACCTCCATTGTCCTGACCTCTAGGGAGTCCCTTTCTTTCTTCCTTTGATGTGTTTCTACTAAAGTGCACCAGACCCCAGTAGAGGCAGGGAGGGGAAAAGAAAGGAGGCAGGGCAGAAGAAACAGCACACTGTTAGGGCAGAAAGGACTGTCTTCTTCAGGGCTCTCCAGATAAAACCTGAGTTTCCCTCCTCAGACCACGCAGCTCCCAAACACAGTTACATCCGACGACCGACTGGATTCTATCATTGAGATTTTTTTTGGAGGTTTTTGCTATAGGGTGAGTGCGCTCGCTAGACAGAGAGACAGAGAGACAGAAAGCGAGAAATCACCCCCCAGGGGGATGGCTACGCTGCAATCCGTTCTCCGCCATTCTCCTCTCGGGATCTTGGGCATGCACGCACATGCGCCCAGTGTGAGTTTAAGCCACCAGGTCCGGGACTTGAACCGCGGTCGGCTACATAGGAGTCCAGCGACATGGCCATTACACCAACTGCTGGTGTAATGAAATTGAGATCTTTATGTTTTAATCTGAAGTCTGGCATGGTTAAAGGGGGAGTGTATGGAGGGCGGAGGAGGATAGGACAGACTTCTTCCATTGCCAGCTTCTGGCTGAGCGTCGGGATAACACTTAGGTTTGCGGGCCTAGGTTTTCTCGGTGCGATGGGAAGAAGAGGGGGCCTGGATGACCTCCATGGACATTTGGGGAGTGTGCAGGGGCTGCGGCATGACCTCCTCTCCCTGGTCCTTCCCCTGATCCAGGGTGCCACACACCAGCCAGCTCCCGCTTCTCAGCCCCCCGAACCTCCAAGCCCTCTGCATTCCCCCTTGGCAAACGGACATCTTGCCTGGAACTCGCAGCCGCAGAGTCCCGGCGACTAGAGCAGGAGGTCGCGGGCTACCTGAGAGCGGGGCTTGGCGGGCTGCCGGGCGGGCTGCGGGGCGGGGCCTGTCGGGGGCGGGGCCTGCCAGGGGCCGGCCAGGGGACCTTCCGGAGACCCCGGTGGAGGTGGCCGCAAAAGCTGCGGGGAGGAGCGAGTCGCTGCGCTGGAGGCGCTGGGAGACGTCGCGAAGGGTGAGCGCCCTGTGGCTACAGGGGACCTCTCCGGGGCCACGAGTCACCGGCTGGGCACGGCGGGGACGCGGCTGCCTGCGGTGGCCTGGCACCTCTCCGCCTGGCGCTGTCCTGGGCTGTTTCCAACTGTCCTCCGGCCCCGGGCGTCCCATCCCTGGATGGCGCTCTCTGCCCCGCGGCGCCCGGGGAAGGTGGGAGTCCCTCGGCGGGGGTGGAGGGCGAGTAATAATGTGAGTGCCTGGCCGGTGGGACGCAGGGACACCTCGGAGTGACGACGGCACTTGCACTCCCGCCTTGAAACAGTGGCTCCCTCTTGTCGGGCAGTTTTATTTCAGCTTCGTCCCCACCCTGTGGAAGGGGCAGGTGGCTTATCAAAGTCAGCCCGCTCACTGTCTTCCTTGGAAAGGGAGACAGACACCCACCTCCAGCAGGGCCACGGAAAGCCCAGAAAGTCATTGAACCACTTGACAGGGGCCCTACCTCGGTGGTTCCAGGTAGTGCAGCCGGGCAAAGACCGTGGTAAATACTGTTGGCCTTGACGTTGGAAAAGGAAAAAAAAAATAATAATAATACTGCCTGAAGATAATCACCCAGTCTAAGTCCTCTAAAGCCACAGTTGGAAAGACATTTTCTAAGGGGTGAGGGTGAGTTTGGGATCACATTGTGGTTTGATTGATTGGCTGATCATCTCAGGGTGAGGGTGCTACTCAGGAAGGCTGCTCAGGCAATTGGGTGGGAATTGAGGCAGTGGCTTCCCCCCACTGCTTGGTTGCCTAGGGTTTGGAACACACCTGCCCAGCAGTGGGATCCACACGCAGGCAGCGTAATCCAGTGTCCTTCACACATGGTTGCTGAGCAATGGCCCAATCCATGCAGTTTGGACGTCAAGTGCATCTGTACTGTGTCTCTTGCTCAGTGCCTGGAAGAGGGCATTAGGGATTACCTGCAGATATGAGCGGAGCTCCCATGTGGGAGTGGCCGGGCCCTTGCCAGATGTGTATGGTTGGATCATTTTGCCACCACTGCTCAGCTGATCTGAGCTACGGAAAGTCTGTCCAAGACCTGAGTTCCTTGACTCTTCACCTTTGTTCTTGGGGGCAGAAAACAATGGCCAAGATTTCCCCGTGTGCCATGTGCATCCAGTTAAAAGGGACACCCCAGAGCAAAACCCTGGAAGAAGTTCTGTGGGGCTGGGTGCAATTCTTCAGTTGTTGGATCATGGAGAGTTTCTATGGGGATCCAGAGGAGGGGCCCAGCCAAAGCTTCTTACCAAGCAATACAAAAATAATCCATATTTTTAAATCAATAGGACGACACCTATGCATCTGGGCTTAACTTGACTAGAATTTCCATCCTAAAAATGGCACAGGATCACCCCCTTGGACATTTATAGCTATGAGCATAACATGAAGGGTTTAGATTTCATTGTCTAAACTCAAAGTCAGGCCTGCCTGGTTTTCAGTTTTGTTTCCAAGTAGGGAAGACCTCTCCTTAGGAAGGCATGTCCAGCACAGAATCTTCTTTGTTGATTTCTGAGCGAGTTTTCCAGGAAGTTTGGCCCTGCTGAATATTGAAATCAGAACAGTCTTGTTTTGCAAGCACAGACTCAGCAATAAAACACTGGAATGTCCAGCTACTGGGTCCAGATGTGTTTATTTCACTCTTAATTTGGTGGCAAAGAATGCAGATGACAGACCCACATCTTCAGTCAGCTCAGAAACCTCGGTGATTCCCAGGCCTCGTTTTGACGTCCCCTAATGTGTATGCCACACCCTACAACAGGCTCAGCTCTGAGGGACCAACATGAATTTGAGGCATAGTCTCTGCTGTTAGGAAGCTTACAGACCTAGGTGTGAAGATAAAACCAGCACCTCTGAACCAATTAGAGAACAAGGAAGTGCAAAACTGTGTTTTCATCTACTGGCCCAAAGAAGACAGCAAGTATGGGCTGGAAAAGGCAGCTATCTGAATAGCTATTGTAGTTGGTCTTAGGCTCAGTGTGGAAACAACCATCCAGGACCAGGCCAGACCGAAGGAAGAAAGCCGATGAATAATCTGAAGGTCAGACAAGAAAAGGCTCTGCTGCCCAAATTCCTTGCCTCCCTTCTGTCTTCACCTCCTGCCACTCTCGTATGTCCCACACCCCTACTGACCCTCGTGTAGGAGTCAGCCATGACTTCTGTGTGCCTCTTTCTCTTTGTGCTTACTCTCCTGAGCCAAGAATGAGGTGCCAGTGAACACTCTACATTTTAAAAGTTTATTTATTTCCTTTATGAGTGAGACAGACTGACAGACAGGTACCCTCAACAGGGTGTCTTGCCATAGCCCATCCCAGCCTTGGCCGGCCTTGGATCATCGGCACACACATGTCTAGCAGGTTTAGGGAAGTCTCTAGATGTGCATCTGGAACCTACCCATGTAGGTCAGCCTTACAGAGCATTGCCTACTGCTATACACCGTTCAGCTCTACAATGTTAAAGAAGCATCTCAAATGACACATTCTCCCATGAAGACCTCCCTGGTTGATCCCTACCCTAATCTATAAGCAGAGATGGAGAGCCTCTTCCCTGTCTTTAGACCTCCCTGGTTGATCCCTACCCTAATCTACAAGCAGAGTTGGAGAGCTCTTCCCTGTCTTCCTTTGCTGGTTTCATTAGCCTCTGCTGAAGCTCCTACCACCCTATAGTGCCCATAGTTGAGGGGCCTTTGTCCCATTCACTGACACGGGGCTGTGACACTCATCCGGGGATCACCTGAGCCAAAGTCAGTGTCTGGCACATGGTAGGATTTGGTGTAGTATTCTTGGTTAAAGTTCAACCACCCATGGGAAACAGTGAAGCACCCCCTTACTTAGAACAGAAGGCGTAGGTTACATGTTCTTGGGAATCTAAGATTGGATAAATTAGGTGGAGGCAATGCCTGGAGTCCTTGAGGAGCTTGTGTTTAATGTAGCGGTAGTGCTCAAAACCCTTAGCACTTCTGACTGCTTACAGAGTGGAATTCTAGGTCTTCTCATTTGTCTCAAGGGTATCCTCTCCAGCCTATCAGCTTTCACCTTGAACTCATTCTTCAACCTTCTGAGCCAGTCCAGCTCCAGGCAGCTCCCTGGGCCTGGACTCCCTCTTCCCTGTGACTGTGCTGTTCGGCAGTCTCTGCCAGGCGTGTCTGCAGCTCCCTCTGGCCAGATCCTGATCCTGAGAACTTCATATCTATATCCCCTGCATATAGAGGACGCCCCCCCCCCCAGGCTGGGTTGGCAGGCCCTCCTCTGTGCCGCACAGTGTCCCCACACGCATCTGTAACCTCTACGACAACCTCTTGTGGCTGCCAGTGTGATTTGGCCACCTCCCTGCTCATGACTATTAGCTCCCTGAAGGCAGTGACTGGGTTTATCCCTGATGTAACCCCATCAGCTAACCTTGGCCCTAGGAGATGGTGCCCAGGACACGTGTATCAGACGGAAAGCTGAATCAGGGTGGTGAAAATGTAAGACAGAGGACAATGTAGAGACTTTGGAAGGGGAAGAGTTAAGATTTGGTGATTAGCTATGTGAAGAGAGTAAAGGCTTACTACCTGTGATGCAGGTGGAGGTGGTATACAGTAGTGGTCAGACCCCTGGCCTGGGGGAGAGGTCCACTTATATATCTCTGAATGCCGTGCAAAAATGTTTTTGTTTCCTGGATGATTTTTCAAAATTCAAAGTATTAAGTCATTTGGGGACTGTGAGTTGGATATATTATACTAACGCATCCAAATACACTCAGTGGAAACACACACTTGGAGTGCAGGTGAAGTCAGGGCTAGAGAGATCTTTGGAGCATCGTGGGGATGGTCCACCTTGGGAATGCAAATGTGGTCCCTGACAGCAGGAACCTAATGCGGAGAACAAGGTCTGGGAGGAAACCTACAAGCCAGGGGAGTGAGAGGAGGAAAAGGAATGTGGAAAATAGAATGATAGAAGGGTGATAGGAAAATCAGGGAAGCCAGAGAGATTTCAAGAACAGGTGGCCAAAACTGTCCCATGTTGAGAGAGAGAGAGAGAATGAACAAGGAGCTTCAGACAAAAAAAAAAAAATAAAAAATAAAGAAGAGGACGAGGTGAACTTCAAGAGGGGAGCTCCCATAGGAAAATCAAGAAAAAAAAAAAAAAAAAAAAGAGGAGGTGAACTGCAAGGGGGGAGCTCCCATAGGAAAATCAAGCCTCAGGGCCTAAAAAGAGGCTATTTAATGGGCAGTGGGAACAGTGGATGGAGTCTTTAGACTTCACGTCTGAGGAATTCTGCTGTGATAGAAAGGACAGATTCTCAGAAAGGGAGGAATGGTCAAGGTCAAGAGAATTTTGGTTCTCAGAAAGAAAGGAGAAATGGTCAGCTCAAGAGAGAATGTTCTGTTTATTTTTGTTTATTTACTTATAAGACATCTAGCCATGTTTAAACATAAGGGAAGGAGCTCATTTATGAAAAGGGCTAAGTATACTTCTCTGCAAGTGTCCTAGAACTTCCTTTGTGGGGAACTTCCAAGGTCATGGTATTGCTAAATCCAAGGATACCATGTTGTAACGCTAACATGATTTGAGGTGGGGACCTCCCTGGTCTGTGATAAACTTTTCTCAAATGTCCCTAACCTCAGCTTGCCTTCATAATGTTACTGTCCAAACATTTTCTCTCTTACTGTGCACCAGTAATAATAGCAAAGTCATAAATACAATTTAGTTGGAGCCAGATACTGTTCTGAGTATCCGTGAGGGGTAAATGGTGAGTCAGCATTTAAACTCCACGTGTCTGATTTCAGGGTTCAGGTGCTTAAACCACTCTGCTACATTCCCAGTAAACAAGCCCATACTTCACTGCAGATTCATGGTCCTGTTTCTGACCCCACTGCGAGATTTTCAGTCCTGATATGACTGACAACATGGGTTGTCTGAGGTCACCAAACCAGTTCTCTATCTGGACCTGGTTTCACAGGGAGCTGGACCAGCTTTAATCGTCAATAAATAACTT